ACGTCCTTCCGGACGAACGCGTACACAAAATAGAAATCCCTCGTACGCAATAATACGAGCACGTCAGTCCTCCCGGCTCCGAGGATTATGAACTGTCGTTCGAAGACGAATGCTAATCAGATTCTAATTCGTTCGCATGTCGCACACATTGTCCGCGCGAATTAATCGGTGCGCGTAAACAACGCGTCATTACACTTGTGTTAAATCGAACTTTCGTTCTCGTAATATTCAAATATTCTTGAACTTTTTAACATTAAAATAGTCAAGTCATGTGTGACCGATAATATTATTAAGATTTATTTGTTGAATCACGACCTTACAATATTGAATGCAACTTGCGTTTTGATTTTCTTACAAAATAATATTTTTTAAATTATTTACATGTCATACCTTCGTTTTTTTTACAGCTAACCAATATGGTTGATGGATTACGAAAGCGTGATAGGCGAATTATATTCTGAAAAGAAACGAAAACCACGGAAAAAGCGGGTGCGATAACACCCTTCGAGCAACAAAACACCTCGCCATACGCTGTTACGCAATTTTTAGTAGAAAAAAAGTAAAGTTCTGTGCAAAAGTGCGGCTATACGTGGCAGCTGCAACGAGCGAAGCGTGAAGGAAGCGCGTCGAGATCACACTTCTGGAAGATTGCTCTAAGTCATGCTAATCGAACGGAATATTGATCAGATGTTTACCTGCCTAAACGCAAAAGACGTAATCAAGATAATTTATTCAAAGCAATGTATTAAAAGCTCCTTCAGCATAATTAAAGTAAATTGAAAAAAAGTGTACAAAGTAATATTACATTTCATTGTCATTTAACTTACAATGAGCTATTTTTTTATATATAATGTTTTTTAGATTTTAAGAGGTACAAAAATTCCACTAAAAACCAGCTTAAACAAAAGGAGAAAATTAAAATACAATAGTACTTATATTTTACTTCACGAGAAGTCTCAAAATTTTCGATTATTGTATCAAATGCTTTTACTGCGATTTCGTTTCGATTTTCTTGGTGGTGAAAAGATAAAAAAAAAAATTAAAAAACGGCACCCATTCAATGCCACCCATTATGCACCAGAGAAAACAAACTGGTCATCTCTCATTGCGCGCATTATGTTCGGACTGTCACGGTTGTAGAGGATTACACGTCGATTACGAGGCGCAATTTTAAACCGTCTCCCTTCTGCAGTCTGCATCGTCTCCTTCTCTCTCGCTACGCGTTGCAACCCTTTGTGGGTTACTCCATGGTTTTACAATCAGTCACTCGTGCTGTGACACGGCCGATGGGTCGTCTACGAAGGGGTTGCCTCGTTTCGGAAAGCGGATTACGCTCATATCTCGTTTCTCTTTTTAGTTCGCACTTCACGCCGAGTCGACTCTGGAGACCAACGATCTCGACGGCTGCTATTTTTCGCGTGATCGATGAGCCTGGGTCGAACCGATTGCTTCTTCCTTCAACGATCTAGAATTCTCTTTTCCCGTAGAATTCTCTTTTCTTCTCTCGAAGAACAAATTCACGCGTTTTTTTAGATTTGTCATAGCGATTTTTACCCGTCATTGTTTACGGGCAACCCCTTCAAGAGGCGTGTCCTTCTAGGGATACAGTTTGGTCTCCGAAAACGCAGTGACCACGAAAATAACACGCGCAATTTTTTTTTAGAGACAATACATTCGTTCTGCGTGCTTTAAGTACTAATATTTCCTTGCATCATAAAAAGTTGGCATAACAAATCAGAAGTGACGTCAAATTTTGCGATGATCAATTTAAAATGTAGTTAAATATTTTATCGTAACTTAACTTATCTAAATGTCTGTTTAGTATATAGAATTTTGTTTTTACTGTGTAGAATTTGGTGTTATGTTAAAAATTAAAATAATACAAAATATCATATAAATATAAATATTATTCAATATTAATCAGTATTGTTATTTTGGAACAACATTAAAAAACGATCATAACTTTCAGATCGTTTCTGGATAAATCTGGATGAATAAAAGAGTCGCCGGAATTTATTTATTTTGCAAGACGCGACATAATCTCCCGATACGTTCGGGAAATACTTGAATGCCGAAAGTTTCGCGGTCCCTCAACGTCTGCGCTTTGCAAAGGTGCCCCCGGCTTTTTTTTCCAGTATGAATGATGATGTATGGATGCTGGCTCTGGGCATCGGGGGCTCGGTAAAGGGTTCCATTGTTGCACCCTCCCCTGGAGAACGAACCCACTCTGCCCCGCAGGGGAGACCTTCGTGAAATATTACTGCCAAGCAACAAACTGTATTCTGCAGGCTGTATACTGTTAATTTTATGCCCGATTTTTTGTCCACTCCATCTAACCCCCCTCCACCCCTCCTCACCCCGCATCCTTGGCAGACATCCATAGATGTTGTTACACGACAAGAGTTCGTGATCCCAAGTCCCGATAACAATAAATATTCATTAAATAATTTTTTTAAATAAGTACGCAAGAAACGCGCAAAATTGTTTTAATCTTTATATTACTGATGCGAGTTTCTCAACGTATGTTTATTGTATAAGATTCTTTGCCATGATAAATCACTTTATCAGTCGTAAATGTTAGCCTATAAATGTTTTCAATTTCATGAATAATTTTATAAATTTGAATATATTTAAATATAAAAAATTCAAGTGTAACATAAAAAAATGCAATCAGTGTTTCAGAGAAAATTATTACGCATATATATATATGGATTATTATGTAAGACAAGTTCATCGCGTTACTTTGGTATTGGTTCGATTGAACCCTCCGAAAAAGATAGTCTCGGTAATCCGAGAAACGGGCAAATCAGGCTCCGCGAGAACAATGTGAGACCACAATTAATAGGGCCTGTAATCGGATGCACCGTGCGCGCACCCCGCGCTCTCTATGCAAATTCGATCAGACACGGTTTTAGAGATTCACCTTGGCCCTTCTCGTACGTCAACAATGCGCCGACTCCACCGACAATGGGAAATAATAAACCGTGATAAATAGCTGAGCAAATACGCGCTTGCGATCGCGTCGTTCTCCGTCTCGGTCTCTCCTGTCAATTCCAGGTGCAGCCTGGTGCAGCCTTGAATTCCAAAATAAATACTCTCGACAAATATTCGGGGCGGCCCGTGCCGGGATAAACAAATATCGGTATTAATTTTCCCGCTTACGCCAAAAATATAGAATTCGATTTGTCGTCCGGTGGAAGGGAACGCGATATACGTACGCAAATAAAAATTCCCAAGACTAAAACTTGTAAATAAGCGCATAATAAAATCAGTAGACATTACATTAATAAAACATTTTAACTAAAATTTGTTTAATAAATTTGAAATTATTTTCAGGTGTGTAAATAAATATAAAAATAAAAAATAAAAATAAAAGAAATTTGTTATATTAGTTTTTCGGTCAAAATTATGACAAAATAATCGAATTAGGACGTGTACACGAGTCGGGGAGAGAAATCCATGAACAAGAAAGCGGCGGTTTCGGAGAGTCGAAACTTGAAGAGGCAGCACTAATCAAAAGTGGTCCATAGAGACAGATTGAGGGGCGTGCTGAAATAAATCAGTCTTTTGTTTTACAGTCCTAAAACGGCCGTTGGGGATATATAAGCAACGCGCGTGAAGCGACATCCATTCATTAAAACGCCCCAGCTGCGAGATCGAAAAGACTCCCGGTGGCAATTCAACAATTCCGAGCAGCGCGATTAAATAATCTCGGTCATTGTGACGGCGCCATTATTTACGAGGTACACTCATTTATTGCTTCCATATGCAATATGCAGATTTTATTATATCATATTGCGTTCAATGTTACAGCCAAACTTGGGCACTTTGGAAGAGATCGAGGATAAATATTTTGAAATAAAAAAAAAAAAAGAATAATTAAAGGGTATCAGAAAATTGCAGTTTATAATAACGTCTTGACATTTTCCTCAAAAAAGATTAATTACAAATTTATCCAATAAGTTAAACTTCGTATATTACTTTGTATATCTCTTATCTGCTTAAAGTGAGATTTGCTCTTATTGTACGCTGCAAATGAACAGTAAATCCAAGTTGTGCGCGTCATTTATCGCCTCGTTAAGAATGCAGGTTCTGTTATGTAGAGTAAAATTGGTCAGCAGAGATAAAGCGCGTCGTATCTGAACGCGGCGCGGCGTGACAAATGGACAGGAGATGTCTTCTTAGCGCATACAGTCTGCGCACTTTGATACAACATTTCACAGATACGGCATCCGCGAGGAGGTGATCGTCTTTCGTCAGCCGCAGAATTGTTGCGAATCCGCGAGTGTTACAAATATTCCGAGATTATATTGTTGTAATTGTATGTTCTTGTGTCGCGATCTTTTTGTCACAGTGATTTAATCGGTACAAAAAACAGTTTAATAGTGATATAATGTCGACATGCAGTCGTATGTTATTGTATGAAGAAATCTTACAAGAAAATTTGTATATTTAATAAGACTCTTGATAAATATATATCTCGAACTATTAATCTTGGCACAATTATTTTTATCGTAAACAAAAAACAAAATGTATTGCATTTAATATTGTTGGTTATTCATTATCCATTCATTATTTTAAATTTAGCTAAACTTTTTTTCATTCTTGTATATGCACTCTTTAAAAGTAATCATAATAAAAATTTATTTAATAAATGTTTTGGCGAGAAAATTGCTTTTGATTTTGATTAAAAAAAATAATTAAAGTGTGTAATTTAATTTAGCAAAACGGTACTCATTCAAGCTACGATTGTGTGTGATTTATGTGCACATTGCGTAAGTGTGTATGTGTGTGTGTTGCATGGGTAACATACAAATTAATGTAACTAAATATAGCTCACGAGCGTAATCTAGACACCAATAATGAGATCTTACGAGTTATACAGTATAGAAGATAACGTGTGGAACAAATATGTATTGTAACTTATTTGAATTTAAATTCTAACTTTCATATTAAAATAAAAAATTGAATTTTTTAATGTAATAAAAATCTTAAATTTTTCAATATCTTTAAATATATCTGAGGTCAATTTTGCAACCCATTTAACATACAGGGTATCTATTTTTATCGCAATCTATTTTCAATATATTGTAATTGCTTGACATTCATCTGTTTTCTGATCGCGAAGATTTCGCTTTTAACGAAAGATCGATGTCTGTTGACAAAATCCTAGTGCATGCAGGATGAAGAAGTACCGTGAAGTATAATTATTGCGCGGGCGCGGGTCAATAATCCACCACGTTGCTTGGCGACGGTATTCCTACTCTGAACCTCCGGAACAGCCGGCGCGAAGTGCTCCTCTTCCTTCACAAGCTGTTCCAGACTCCAGACAAAAGCTAACCAGCCTTTCGTACGTCCAGAAGCGAAAACGAAGATCGTGTCTTTTAACTTCTACGGTTTGCTACAGTGTCATTTCCGTTCGTAAAGAAAACAACTTAGGTATGATTTGCACTTGATATTCTTTAACCGTTAAAAATCCGTGTCTTTTTAAAATTACATAATTTTTTTCACAAATGCACGATAAATGTGTATGATGAATGTATATTTTGTAGTATATTTCGTTCGTAAAAAGTATGTTCATTGTATGAAAGCCAGACTGCAACGTGTTTCAATGATTTTTACATTTTGCATGCGCAGCTTTGAAGAAGTATAACTGTATTATAGCTTTCAAGATATGTATTAAAAATATATTTTTGATATTAATTAATGCATTAATTTATTAACATCGTGTAATTTTTTGAATCAATTGTAAACACAAAGCGATACAAGTGTCCGATTTATGTAAAATTCAATACGCATTTTATTCTTGTTTGAACTTTTATATTTGGTAAATTTTTTTGTCTTTCTTAATATTCGTAAATAATCTCGCGTACGCAACATTTTTATCTATAACAAGTTACATTTTTTATGTTATGTCTGTCGCGACCTTTGCATATTTATATACACTCGATCAAAGTCTCACGATAAATAAATTTAATATTTTGTAAAGGCGCATCGACAAAAGTGCGATTTGCTCATTGTCCACAACTCGTTCAATCACCATACATTACGACTAACTTCCTGCTACAGATTAAGAGAAATAAGTACCTGGAAAAATTTACTACTTGATTGTACCTCGCTCCCCAAAGAATCAAATCTTGCATGCTATCGTCTGCTAAATTAAAGAACTATAATATTCTACGTATGCTGTTTAAGATAAAATGTGAAGTTATCAAAGTAGCAAACTGTATTTATCGTCTCAATTAACAAACAACCTTTTGAATAAAGCAGTTATTTACATATTTTTTAATTTATCCTCATAATTAATTTTAAAATTTATCTATCTCATAAATATATATTTGACAAATGCAGAAAGTGGAATGAAATATTTGAATCTATCGTGTTTGCCATTACAATCTCATATTTTTTATTATAATATAGCTTCTAAATAGTCTCCTTTCTTGTTTCAACAACTTTGATGAAATTCAAAAAAAGTTAATTGAAGATAAACTTGATTAAAAATCTGCTGTTGGCTTGCAGAAACTGGAAGCGGTGGTATGAGGAAAACAGACGAAACGGAAAACGCGTCTACATCGCCAAACGATGGATCACACATAGAAAATTCGACAAACTTTGTACCTAAATGTTCGTCATTGAAACAATCGTTTAATAATAACTTCAAGAGACTATTTGACTTTAAAGTGAGCGATGTGTCGAGTTTTGAGAAATTCACTCAATTTCTCTATCGTCCGAGTGATCCAGCGAGTCTCGGAGTGGTTAGAGCTCTATTTGGTAAATCTACAAATATTGATAATAATAATATTATATCAAATATATATAATTTTTTAAACTGTAAGTTAAATTAAACAATAGTCACCAACTAAAAACCATGACAAACTTTTGAAATATTTCACATTCTGTTTCACTAACTTTTACTATGTTTTAAGAATTGTTTATTGAGATTCAATGTTTGTTATAATTGTTGAATATTTTTCATACCAGTATCTAAGATTCTATCAAATCTAAAATGGAGTAGAAAAGAATTGAGAAAGAAATAATTAATAAATAATTCAGTATAAAGTGCGATTATCATGTATTATTATTAAATCTGATTTTCGAGAGAACATTCCACAAATCAGCGCATTAACTCACCACCGCTGGTGTCACACAACTTAATCTTACTCATGACACTTTATAAATGGAATGAAGAATTTGAATCGTAAAAACTAGATACGATTTAAGACCTATTAAAGCAATCATGGGGATTAAAGGCTTAAACTAATAGAAGTATGACCATGATTCTATATTGTCCGTTGAAAAAATGAATCATACTTATAGACATTTTTGTCTTAACAATTTTTTTATAGTGATTATACTTTATTAAACATCATGGAAAATAAATCCATATTAAATTACATAAAAACAAAAATGTTTCTTTCCTAGTGCTTTTAGTCATTTTACTACAAAATCCGAATCTTCTTCTTTTCTGCAAAATTTTTGCACAATAAAAGTTTAATAAAGTTTAATAAAATCTTTCTTTCCAGGATTATGCATGGTGATAGATGTCGTCGAGGAGAGAGGATTGGCAGACATCGATATAAAATGGGGGGATCCCTGGGACTGTCATTTCCCATTAATCCACGGGATGAAATCACTATCGTTACCGTGGATGGTAGTTATATACGCGGTAATGTGGATGGGTGCCTTCGGAATCGCGCTCGGTTTTCACTTTAAAATCGCATGCGCTTGCTTTGTGCTGCCTTATTGGTATATCTTTCTACTAGACAAAAGTTATTGGAATAATCATACCTATCTTTATGGTATCGTGGCGACTTTATTCTGGGGAACGGAAGCAAACAAGTATTTGTAAGTCGAATCTTGGCTCCCACAATTCTTTTAACAAAATATTAGTCGCAATTAAATACTGATTTACTGACGTTTTGCAGTGCATTGGATGCAAATGACGGAAAACAAAGCGGCAATTCCGTGCCGTATTGGAATTACTTTATCCTGAAATTTCAATTTTTTGCGCTTTACTTTTTGGCCGGCTTGAAAAAATCGGGCAGAGAATGGCTGGAAGGCTATTCTATGACGAATCTATCTAGACACTGGGTGTTTCATCCGTTCAAGTAAGTAGCATTCCTGTTATTCAAAACGGAGACAAAAAATATTTAGAAATAAGTAAGTCGCGTGTAATAGCGAACAAAAAGTGCATCGTGTAGAAAGAAGATCAGAATTATTTTTACCAACAAATACATTTTGCTATAAAAAAAATATTTGTTTTAGAATATTTTTGACTATCGAACAGACGGACTTTTTGATCATCCATTGGTTCGGCTTTATCTTTGATCTATCCGTGGGATTTTTGATGTTACTTGAAAAAACTCGAATACCAGCCATGGTGTTTTGTGCAGCTTTTCACTTCATGAATTCGAGATTATTTAGTATAGGTAATTAACATTCAAAACAATTGCCAATATGAATAAGGCATGACAATTTCTCGCATTATTATTTATATAGATTATCGAAAGGGAAAATTTCAAAAAAGATTTTTCCAGGAATGTTTCCATATGTATGCTTGGCGACAATGCCGCTTTTCTGCCGTGCGGACTGGCCACGTAAATTAAGACTTTGTAATTGGAGACAAAAAATTTCTGTAACTAATGTAAATTTAACCGATGCAAATAGCGTGAAAGAGACTGACAATCAAATAAAAGAGTGTGTAAAGTCTGAATGCTTAGTATCACCTTTAAATAAAATTTTACGTGATAAAACGGCGTATAAAGGTAAAGTCACAATTAAAATATTTCTTTAAAAAAAAGTAAAAATAAAGAAAAAGTATTTTGTTAAATCAGAATCTGAAAAAGAAGTCAATAAGGAAGATTACAATGCACAATCATCTAAAGATTCGATTAAGTCCGATGAAAAATCCAATGAAAAAGAAGCAACAAGTATTTGCGAAAATAATTGGAAAACTCAACAATCACAAAAAGTTACAAAAAAACAAAAATTTGTGGTGTCCTTGTTGTTATGCCATGTTGCACTGCAGTTTTTCCTGCCGTACTCACATTTTATATCAAAGGTATCAAACTTATAAGCATTAATATTATTACATCATCATTATTCCATTACTTAAACATTTTTATTTAAAATTATTTTATTCCTAAAAATAAGATTAATTTCGCAAAATTGTAATTTTAACTGTAAATCTTTTCTAAATTTATTTAGGCAGTTAGTTAAAATATACAAAATATGATATTTACAATAAAAATAAAATATTTTATATTCAGGGTTACAACAATTGGGTACCTGGACTTTACGGTTACTCTTGGGACATGATGGTCCACGCTTGGGACACTATACTCATAGTGATTAAAGTACATGATAACGCGAACAATGAGATTCGATATTTAGATCCTGAAGCATGGGTGCAAAGTGACCGATGGGTGAGACACGGGGACATGGCAGTGCAATATTCACAATGTTTAAAGGTCCTTAATTATTGCAAACAAATGTTGTCTGAAATTCTTAACAAATATCTTTTATTTTTTTTTTAATTATTTAAGTTATATGTAATGCTGCTGCTTATCCTATTAAATATAAAATATTGAGTTTGTTTATATGTAACTTTAGGATAATCTGATGCGTCGAAGAGAGGAAGCATTGAACACCGATAATTATTTCAAAGAGAAAGAAAAATGGATGAAACTATCCACAAATTTAAGCATTTATATGGACGTATGGTGTTCGCTAAATGGTAGATTTCAACAGAGGGTATTTGACCCAAACGTCGATATGTTGACAGTCGATTGGCATCCCTTTAAACCTATTTCATTCCTGATGCCATTACTCACACAATATAATTCGTATCGGTATGTCTATTTATAATTAACTTACCAATTATTACACATTAGCAATCAAACATGTTGCCAAAGATATCAACAATTAATTGTGATAAAAAAATAATTAATAAAAATCAAGAGACATTTTGAAATTAATCAGAAGAGCCTAAAAAAAATTATGATTTTATCATTGACGTGTACCAGGTACAAAATGGATGAAATTCAGCAGCATGTTTACACTTGGTCGAATTACACGGATGTTTTATTCGTGGCCGATTTTCCGAGGATGTATTTAGAAAATTACATATCCAACGATTTCGCGAACGTCTCTTTGACTGTGCTAGAAGGGGAAGTAACTTACAATGAGGAAAAATCGTCGGATGCGATTACTGTGTCGAAAAAAAGGTCGATTTCTGTTAAAACAGGAATGTTTCACCGAGTAAAGACTACAAGTTCTTATCCAGCAACCTACATGTACACCTACACCAATCAAACAAAACAGCATTTGGATAGAGGAAAGTGAGTACTATCTTTATTTTATTTGATTAATTATAAATATGATTATTATATAAATCTTTTTGTAATTAAATATTGTTGTGTGCAAATTTGAATACAAACTAACTAAAATTCTAACTAAAATTTTTGTAATATAGTATATTTGTGTTCACACATGATATTTAATTATTAAGATAAAGAATCTTCATTCCTCGAATCAATGTTTTTGGAAATTTTACATTTGCTAACATATAAAATCAGAAAATTTTAATTTAAATTTTTATAATGTTAAATTTTTTGAAACAATAAATTAATTAAATAAAAGTTCCAAGTTTGTTATTGACTTATAAATTTGAAGATAAATTATTTTATTTTATAAAAATAGTACTTAGTTTTCATATATATCCATTTTTCAGAAAGAAACCTCATGTGGTAACAGAAAATACATCGGCACTGGTAAAAGAAATTAATTATAAAATTGCTGCGTTGTCAAGATCATTTGTCCATATAACAAATGCCTTTTTCAACTTAGTATATGACGTTCCTATGGTACGACGAGTGCGTATTAACAAATAATAAGCATTTGCAATTAGTAAAAAAATCTTAATCAAAAGTTGAATTTTTATATATTTTCTCAATACACGTTAGTTTTATGTAGTTCTATTCTCGAATAAAAAATCTATCGTGAATGCATAGCAAAGTATAAGTTTTACACAGTTTATAAATATTTTTTTTCATCAGATTATGAAAATATATTTTTTTAAATCTTTCTAAATTAATTGATATAATCTAACCATCTTTTTTGTTCCTTTATATCTCAATTTTAATATCTAATTATCTTTACTCTACAAAAATAATTTATATAAATTAATACATCTATTTATGTATATATGAAAAACAAATATGCACAAATATTCATATATATCGTTATAAAGAAATGAATATATATATATAGCACACAAATTATTCTTTTTTATTTTTATATATTATAAAAGCGTGGTAAAAATAGCGTACTGTTATTGTGATAATCTATTATAACTTATTATTCCTAATGGGAAAACTTTTCAACTGACGTCCACTCAATTCCAATATGTGATTAAAATTAGTGAAATTAGTCGCTTGAAAATAAATTTACATACTTATTTTGTATGTATAAAATATAATGTATTTTCTATTTAATAAGTGTCAATAAATTTTAATATCATTAAAAACATTTATGTCTTTTAACTTTATTTTATTTTTTATATATTTAAAATAATAAAATATATTTATATATTAATTATATTGCATTATGCAATTCGCTAATTCGTAAAAATCGTAAAACTACAGATCTTAGAAAATAAGAGTCTGAAACACAATTCGTTCTAAAGTAAATTGATATTAATATATAACAATGAATAGCGCAATGTAAACGTAACGATTATAAAGTTTATATTAAAAAAAATAATTAGTAAAAGTTTTATATAATTAAATTTTATATAAATAATGCTTAATAAAAAAGCGTAATAATAAATTCAAAACATTGGCAGAAAAAATTAGACACCAATTCTCATATATGCAAAGTAAAAAGAAAACTTAAATTATGTAAAAAAGAGAAATTAGTTTTGAAATAAATATATTTTTTAAAGTAATATTTTCTATTTATAGATTTATTTTTTGCAAATAAAATGTGAATAATATGTGAAAAACAATAGCAAAACAATAGTGATGCATTTTCAAATAACGTAATTTTATATTAGATTGGCATACTACTATTGTAAAAAATAAATTTTTAATTACTTTTGATAAAAAATATTGTTACTTGTTGTCTCCATTTTAAATCGCGCGCTGACTATAATTGTAGCGAAGCTACGGCATTCTTGATTCGCTCTGCCATTTTGCTTCAACGAAGAATTCAACCAATAAAAAATGGGAAAACATTGATCAGACTGTGCTTTTAGAATCTCTAGTTATTTGTTATTACAGCTCGAACAGAGTGAAAAATTTTAATGTGGTATGACAATCACGTATTGTTGCTAGTTATGGTCCAGAGTTCAGAGCATTTTCGATGCTCGTGTCCATTTGTCATTGTTAAACATATAGGCGGGAGCACAGACTTTTGCATAAAGCATAACGCATAAGCATAAGGAAATTGATTGGTCCGTTTCCTTATGCATTTGCTTATGCTTATATATAGACCAATCAATTTCCTTATGCGTTATGCTTTATGTAAAAGTCTGTGCTCCGGCCTTAACGTAGTGTAATACCAACTTTTCTTTTATTTTTTCGTGTATTTTGTCCGTGGAATTACGGTTATAATTAACGATATAAGGCGGGAGCACAGACTTTTGCATAAAGCATAAAGCCGAGAGCACAAGCTTTTAAGCCGAGAGCACAAGCTTCATTACATAAAGCATAACGCATAAGCATAAGGAAATTGATTGGTCTATGGGCGGTATTCATAGTCCGTTCTTATATTTAAAATCGTCTTAAGCACGGACTTATATTCGCTCTCTTCGTCACACATAGATTGTGTCTGACGAAGAGAGCGAATATAAGTTCGTTCTTAAGACGATCTTGAATATAAGAACGGACTATGAATACCGCCCTATATATAAGCATAAGCAAATGCATAAGGAAATGGACCAATCAATTTCCTTATGCTTA